AGCCATGAATTCACAGAGGAGGAAGCCCCTAGGGTCCTCCACCGGGCTGTGCCACTGATGTGATTTGGCATTGAAGTCTCCCATCACCACCACAGGGTACCCCTGCAAATTATCCATAGTTTTGCCCAGGAGATCCAGAGGAGTTTCCAGATCCTCTTCCGGGGAACAGTAAAAGGAAATCACATATAGGCAATTACCTGGAATATCTACCCTTACAGTTGTGTAAAAACGAGTTGTGTGTTGGGTCACCATTTGGGCCATTATATTCTTGTTATAAATTATCACACCATTTTTAATTTTATGATCAATGCAAGGGGGCACAAAACTCCTCCCATGGCCCAGCATGGACACCCTCTCATTCACCACATAAGGTTCCTGAACCGCAAGGATGTCAATGTCCCAGTCCAGGGCCATCTGAAGGGGCTCTGAAGACGCAGCCTTAGACCTTTGCAGATTTATTTGCAGGATGGTGAGGCTGTCTTTGTTGTTGTCCGTGTGACTCTTATCCATTATGGGCGACTGAAGCTGATAGGCGACTGGGAGCTACAAACACAATTACTCATATTGTATCATACTTATTAGATTCGCCTTATACCGTTGTAGGATCGGGCAACACTTGTCAAAAGCATTATGGTTCAGTGGCGTGGCTTTATTCCCAGGTGCTGATTTGTTGTTTCTTTTGCAATTGGAGCAGATTGGATCCATAGCGAGGTTGGGGCACTCACTGAATTTGTGCCTTTTCGTGCAATGAGTGCACCTTTGCTTTTCTACACACCTGTGAGAGGTGTGCCCAAAGCCTGCGCAATTATAACATCTGATGATGTCTATATAGTCATCTATCGCTATGGAACTCCATCCCAGGTATACTCTTCTCTGCTGCATCAGGATGTTCCTGATGTCTGGTCTTACGCTTATGATGATGTGTCTCTGATGCTGGTTTTGCTTCGGGCGAAAGCTGTGCGATACAGCTGAGCTGTTTGTGAATTCCTCCTCCGTTACATTTTCCTGTATTCGTGTGTTCTGGTTATATATGTCTCTGAGCAGTTCCCCTTCCTCTAACTCTTCCGGCACATTAAACATGATTACCTTCGGAAATCTCTTTTTCCTCTCTGTTATCCTGACTTTATCTACCAGGGCTTCCTCCTCCTGTACGGCCCTTTTAAAGATTTGTAGATCCTTATCATCCAGTACTTGGATCTTAAGATCCCCTTCCGGGAGTGGCCGGATTGCTTTAATCTTAATTCCCAGTTTTTTGGGGTCTACATGGTTTTGCAGGAGATCCAGAGTCTCCTCTGGGATGGGGACCGGCTTGTCTGGATGTTTAATTGCAGTAATGATTATCTCGTGACCGCTATTCTTGGGGTTTTTAACCCCTTCCAATGCCGCAGATTTTTCGGCGATTAACTTTGTAGTGCTGCTGATTAAATTCTGCTTCCGTTTCACTATTGTTGCGTATGATTCCTTGACCGGTTGGTTGTTTAGGTTAGCCATTGCCTTTACCCTTTCCCTAAGTTCCAGCACCATGCCGAATATCTGATTCGCGGCCGCATGCATCTTTACGGCAGCCTCTTTGACGGCTGTCCTTTCCTTAGTTTTTACCGTTACGCTCGAGTTCAACGGAATGTTGGTAAAAATCACTTCCAGTTGAGTGTTGATAGTGTTTAAGAGATCCTCTTCGATGAAACTATTATTAGAAACAGTTAAGTCCTCCGTTCCTTCTTCCATGATTAGAGGGTATAGAATGGGAGGTATAGCAGAAATCAGTGATTTTTTGTGAGTCAAATGATGTATCACACTACACGGTGCTCCCAACACGACCCCCAAAGACAGCAGAAAACACCGCCGAATTTGGGTCAGTTAGAGGATGAGCACGTGGCAAGGCCAATGACCTTAGACCCTTTGTCTTGGTTCAAACTTAAAATGGACGTAACTTGACAACTAATAGCCGTAACAAGATGAAAATTCCGCCACAGGTAGCTGTATACACGAACTAAGGAACACCTTAAGATCGACCGCTCCGAAGGCCCGAAAAGCCCGCACGACGGCCCGAAGTGAAACAGATTCCGGTCCCAATAAAACTGAAACGGCTCGCCGGATCTTAAAACTAAAGACGTCGTTTTAACCAGCATAGAATCCTCTTTCAACCGATGTAAGATAAGTCCACTTACCGGCGGAAATTACCCGGAAATGGCGGCCGGAGTTCCTTGATCTTCCGGAGGCCGTACCTTCTGAGCCGTTAAACCGATCCGGAAAATAAGACGTCAATCTGTAGAACTCGATGAGACGTATCCAACGATATACTATACTCCACCGATTGTTGAGTTGGAACGTCGATGCGAAGATCGAAAGCAGAGCACATGGAATTCACGTCCTTACGGTTTCGCGACTCGTCGCCCTCTTGTTTCTCCCTGCTGCAAGTCGAACTTCTTCCCCTTAATTTTTTTATCTTATAAATTTGTCAATACAACACTATTTCATTCTGAGAGTAAAGTAACCAAGAGGGAACAAACACTACTTAATCTTTTGATTAAGTAATAACTTGTAAATCATTGCATTGCAATAACACTGGCAAGATTGATCTCCCAAATGCATGTACAGGCTATCTGCCTGGCCTCATCCTTACCTCGTACTTCCAAGTGCAATCAACCCTACAGCTTGAGATTGCACATCATTTAGTAGTCCCGCAAATCGAACAGCTCCTCAATCAAACAGAGGTACAATTACTTCGAAAACGTCTCAAGGAACCACAAATACAAGAAATGTTAAAAAGGACTTTAGATTATGATATGAAATTAGCAGACCGATCTTTATCAAACGTCCATTATGACCTCGATCACCTGTTACAAATGACAACCGAATCATCTTCAATATCCTACACTCCTCTAATAACGACACTTACTAGTTTTTTTGGTGCTATCATATGTGTATCTTGCCTTAATAGAATTTTTTTTTTTTGTTATTATTATGACGCAAGAAAAATCGTACAACGACTCAACAACAACCACGAGAGGACAACCCAGAAGAAATCTTCCTCCACGAAATTGAAGATCAACCTCAGACCAGTGTAGAACCAATCCCTTTTCAAGAAGTGAAGCCCCGAGGTGTCCCAACCCACCCAAACCCAAAGCCTATTGTTCTATCATATTAAGGGAACCCTCAACAACAATCATATAACCACATATATATTTTAGTCCTTTTTATATTTCTTAGTTATATTTTTTCCTTATGAAAAAAATAGTTTTTTGTATATTCGTAGAGTATCGTAAAATATATTCAAATGTTAGAATATATTATCTTAAAAATTTTTTTGTTCATAAGATTTCGAAAGATTTTTTTTCAATAAATTAGAAATAGATTACTGAGAGAGAGTACACCAACATGTGATGTATCCATCTAAATACAGTAGAGCGTCAATTATCCGAATTAATTGGAGACTGGGGTTGTTCGAAAAAAAAATCGATGTTTCGGATAACCGATTATGTACGAAAAATATATTAACTTATCCCATGTTGAAATTTTTCTCTGTTGCGTGTCTCTTCGCGTTGAATTTTCGCCAATGTTAAGCCTAACGAAGACTGCTGTATCGTTAAAAATTATTTTTTTTTTTATTTTGTACCAAAATAAATATATTGAAAAATATAAAAACAATAAAAAATTATACTTCAGAAGTTCAAGGCAATGTCCCCACTGAGGATTGTATGTATTATTGAAAACCAGTATTTGACATCACTACTACAATACTTATTTCGATAAATATATAAATTATCCATGGATGCAAGCTGATTCTTCTACTCAAAACGTGCAACAACCAGGGATGCAAGCTGATTCTTCTACTCAAAACGTGACATAAAGACTACTGATATTAAATTTCGATGGCTGTATATAAGGATCATTGAAACGAGAGCGTGTATATAAGGATCATTAATGCTGATAAATGTATATAAGGATCATTGAAACGAGAGCGTGTATATAAGGATCATTAATGCTGATAAATTTTGATTGTGAAAAGTCAAGCGGATGAAGAAAATCGAAAAGAAGTTATGTGATATATTTCACATGGGATCAGACTTAAAGAAAATTTTACTAGTTGTTAGTATTTATAGTATTTTATAAAACTGAAAGCGTATGCGCGCTAAAACAACGCAGCTAGTGAAAATCAATCCAAAACACCTTTGCTTTACCTATGAAATTCAATACCGTTTATTACAATAACATGAATCACAAATAACATTATGAAATTAGATATAGATGCAAAATTACCAACTTGGTATTAGAATTAAGAAACATGATATTTTCGGAGTAGAATTTGTAATTTAATTATTGTTTTCTATTTGTAAATGAATAGGAAACAATAATTATGTAAATATATTGTATAATGTAAAAAAGTATATTGAGTACATTGCCTGGTAAACCGGCTTCGATACGAATCCACAAGGGAAATTTTATTTTAATACATTACGTCATTCGTTTGTTTTACAAAGACACAGATTATCAGTTAACGCTCCATTGTTTTTTGACCTAAGACTGTTAATGATTAATGTTATTCGTTTAATTATTCAAAACTGAAAGAAGAATTTCGAATGAAAATTTTTAAGAATCTTTTATTTTTCATAATTTCAAACGTTATATGTTTGAAATTATAAAAAAAAAGAAAACATTTTTTTAATTTCAATCAAAAAATTACTGCGGAATGCAAAGTTTTTTGAAAAATTGAATGACGTTGAACTAAGTGCAATTTTAACGTAAATAATTTTTATAATTAAACAATCTTTTTAATCAATTAATATGTAATATGAAATTATTTCTTATTTAAAAATATATTTTAAAATAATTTCAACAAAATAAAAGATTTCGTTGTATTTTTCTGTTGACTTCAACACAGTACCAGTAGTACAGTGTACATGTAATTATGTAAATTAATAATATATTAATTATTCTTTCAAAAATCTTAGAATATTATAAATTTTCTTATAAAAACCGAAATAAAAATACAACTGCAGTTTATTTACGAAAAATTAAAATTTTACTCATTTTTCGTAAACACAATTAAAGTACTTTTATGGTTATTTAAACTGTACATGAAATAACACTTGTGTAGAAGAAACTTGCAGCTTGGTACGTAGTAAATTAAGAAAGACTTTAGGTATGTATAATAGTAATTTATATTCTAGAATTAAACTAATACTAAACAATAAGACAATGACCTTCGAACATTATTTTTTCTCATCCATTTTGCTTAGCTCGAAGTTTTAACCTTTTCTTTTTAATTAACATCTTTCTAATAATACCTTTTCAAGCAGAACAGATTAGGCAATGTGTAAATAAATAAAATAATGGTGTCCAATTTGTACATATTCTATAATTAATTAGCATTGTAAGCAAACAATTAAACTTGTTTTTTTTGCTTGCTGCTTTTATAATGAGTGCAGTTAAAGTGGGTGCTTCTAGTTCAAATATTAAAACCATTTTTAAACTTGAATCATATTATTATTGATTGTTGATGATGTAAACGTTTAAACTTAATTTCTAAGCATGCATATTGTGTAGTTTATTTTACTCTCTATGACTCCACCTAATAATATAGGAAACTTCTTTAAAAAAACGAATAGTCTGAAAAGAGTAGTCTTACGTTTTCCACTAAGTTAGTGTATAAAGTATTCATTTCATGTCACTATTTTACTGTTTTGTTAGATCATCGTTAAGTTAGAATATAACAATTAAGTAATACAAATTAATTTTCCACTATTATTTAAGAACTTTCAAATAGGTTTCTGTCAGCCTGTTTGTACTTTATCTATAAAAAGGGAAACTTAACAATATTCGACGGTAAAAGTTTTAAGGTATAAATTTCATTATTTTGGTAATTTTTTTATTTTTTGCAAAATTGACTTTTTCATGCAGGGTGCATTTATATTTTCTTGTCAACTTCCATAAGTTTAAACAATTAATTTGTTTATTTTTCCGCTGTTTTATTGTTTAGTGTTATATTACTTTTGAAATTATTATTCAAAATCTTTTATTTGTAATTATAATGCAGTTTATTTCACGCTTTTACAGATCCTTGAAAAACAGAAAAATGAAATATAGGTGCATAGCATGTGATATGATTTTTAATGATAAAAATTTATTAATTTTTCATCAAAGAAATCATGCATACGAAAAACATCGGTGTAAAATCTGCCTACAAGGATTTTTAACAGAAAAAGCTTCAGTAGAACACATAAATGACAACCAGTCAAAAGCGAAACCTTATATTTGTGAACAGTGCTCTAAGGGTTACAAAACTGAAAAAGTTTTGCTTACTCATCTGAAAATGTGTGCAGAAAAACCGTATAAATGTACAACTTGTCCCGCAGATTTTTCAACTGTAAAAAAACTATTGCAGCACAACAGGGAACACGAAATTTTAGCACCTCCCACTCAAGTATTACAGGAACTATCGATGAAAGCGAGTCCTTCAACTCGAAACGTGGAACAACCATGGATAAAAGAGGAACCTACAAATCGAAATGTGCTGGTCCCGTGGATGGAGGCTGATCCTTCTGCTCAAAACGTGCAACAACCATGGATGCAAGCTGATCCTTCTACTCAAAACGTGCTAAAACCTCGGATGCAAGCTGATTCTTTTACTCAAAACGTGCAACAACCATGGATGCAAGCTGACCCTTCTACAAAAAACGTGCTAGAACCACGGATTCAAGCTGATTCTTCTACTGAAAATGTGCAACAACCATGGATGCAAGCTGACTCTTCTACACCAAATCTGCTGTTACCACAGATGCAAGCTGCTTCTTCTACTCAAAACGTACAACAACCGTGGATGCAAGCTGATTCTTCTACTCAAAACGTACAACAACCGTCGATGCAACCTGATTCTTCTACTCAAAGGGTGCAACAACCGTGGATGCAACCTGATTCTTCTACTCAAAACGTGCAGGAACCAGGGATGCAACCTGATTCTTCTACTCAAAACGTGCAGGAACCAGGGATGCAACCTGATTCTTCTACTCAAAACGTGCAGGAACCATGGATGCAAGCTGATTCTTCTACTCAAAACGTGCTGGAACCATGGGTGCAAGCTGATTCTTCAACTCGAAATGTTCAACAGCCATAAATGCATTCAGGAACCTTTGTCAATGATAGGCTTTGTCATTCATTAGCATTCGTTGTTCCACCAATGTGTAAATCACTCCGAATAGAATAAAACAGTGAAAGATAAATGTCATAATAATCGCTACTTCTACTTTAGTTGTTGAGTGTAGCAGGGAATTTTTTTTACTTTTAATGTAATTTGGAAATTTTTCTCTGTATTTTTAATTCATTTTATTGTTAAGTTTTGCTGATAAATCTCTGTGAAATGCTGTTAAACCTGAAATAAATGTTTTTATAAAATTAAAAGTTTACTTTATTGATTTTGTTCAATGGAAAATCTTTGTACATTAAGACTACTCCTGAATTGCGAACTTCTAGCACTGTACAGGTAAAGTTGCACGGTATTTTACAATTATTTATATTTTTCAAATATAAACAATTGTATATATAATTTCAAAAACAATATTATATACTACAAAAGGTATGTCGATGATATATTCATAATTTGGAAAAGCAATCGAGTAATTGCTAACTTTATAGATAGAATTAATGATAATGAGGATGGCCTTAGCTTAAAACTAAAGCAAAAAACACTGTTATGGTACATTTTTTGGACATTAATGTT